CCAGAGATGGACAAAATCCTCTGTTTTCACAGCCCTAGGAGGCTTCCTGGTGAATAACACAAACTGTTCAGACATCAACAGGAAAACTTGAGCAGACAATTGAGTTCACGAAATTTGCTCAGTGGGTCTTCATAGCGTCCAAGACGGCCTCGCATAATTCTGCCTTTTCAACACAGTTAGCGACCTACAGCAAACTTACTCACGTCGGAGCTAGAAAAGATGACTTCCTACTTTAGTAGAGTCCACATTGAACAGCCGCAAAGCATGCTTCAGTTGCTTAACAGGCAGACCTCTGACAAGTTCATCATCCGTTTCTGAGGAAACATTCCCTACTGGTACCGACAGAGCTCGATTCCACTCACTCTCTCGGCAGCCGAGTTTAGCTTTCAATTTCAGCCACAGTGCAATGTCGTCGATCTCATTCTCGCGGGCCGAATGCTCCATACCGGAATACCTAAGCATTCAGTGGTGGTCGGCAAGGAATCGTTCCAAGAGGCGTACCAAGTTAGAGTGAGATTCTTTGCGCCGAGTTCACGAAGATGGTCTATAGTCTCCTGAGCATACTTAGGAAGGATAACTGGATCGCTGGTACCGTGGCATTGAATGACAGGAGTATCAACAGCATCAGACGCTAGCCGGAACCTGAAGAGGTCATCAACAGAGTGCTAACGGACTATGCTCACTCATCAGGTCGGAGAACACAGCCACTCATTGAGACGACACCACCGTAGCCACCCTGCTGCAGTCCAACCCAATAGGACATCGTGCCGCCTTGAGAGAATCCCGACAACACCTAAGAAGTATATCACCAACTTCAACACGCTTAACAATGTCGCTACTATGTCCTTCTTATCGATACCGGACTCCTCCACCTCCTTCTTTACCATAGCCTCTATCCTAGCAGCAGACTTCTCTATACCACGCGCCTTGCTATTCTCCTTGCTTGCGTCTGCCCCGAGGGCTTCAATATCATACCTTGTAGACCAATGTTGCGCATGCGTGCATTGAGATGTGCTCACCA